ATCAGCCCAGGAGGCAAATGTCTTACATGCACGAGTTCAGTATCAGCTCATCCTTGACCGAGCAAGTAACGAAAGACAAGTCTTCACTGTTTAAACTATAACCTGTTCTTGTCCCAGTATTGATCTGCATAGCGGCGTGTGATGTTGTTGAGCGAGAGCAGGGCGGGACGGTGGGCGAGCACATGCTTATATAACCGAACAGTTAAACTGAACTCATGCGTGTTTAGTTTGACCTTTGTGCACATTTGTTTTAAAGTTGTTTAATGTTTTAATTCTCTCACTCCAGGCTAAAGACAGTCTTACCCCCAAAATAACAAACTTACCACGTATTACACAAACACGGTGCTCTGTATTTGCACTACAGTCAGAGCGACTTGGCTGCCATTTTCCTTCTTTTGAGCAATGCCTCGATATTAATGTTACATTGGTCTCTCTAGAGATGCAATGGCCTTTATGTTTTACATTATGTGCAAACAGAGATGAAGTAGAAGCTCGAGCAGGAATTCCTGGATGCTCAGCTCATACTCACACACTTCGAGGTCTGACCTCTGTCGCACAGTTCAGTCTTTGGGAGGAGGAAAGTGAACCGCCGGTTGGTTGGTCGGATAGTCTAATTGTCAGATTCTGCGTTCCTTCAGCTGCCGTGTTTTAATTGCAGCTGTGCCTGTGAGGGTCTGAGCAGGCAGGAAGTGGAGGGTTAGCAAGGACACAGCTGGAAAGCTGGAAGGAGAGGGTTGAGTCTAGTTCTACACACTGACCCCAGACCTCTGAGCAACGGAGAGCACGGACACACAGCAGCTTGTGTGATTTGAACCACAACTTGGAGCTAAAATTCTTTTACGTAATGAGTGATAATTCAGCAAGTAAATGGGAACAAAAAAATCAGGGGGGGCTTGGTGTGATCCTCTGCTGAATTTGTGAGTTTGCTCAATTACCAAGAAATGAACAGTCTCCACTTTTTATGGTCTTTAATTTTTATTAATTTGACTGCATCTTTAAATTGCATACAACTTCCAGTAGTGATGAGGACATTCACTTCTGAACTTTTATAGAGACAGAAAATCTTGGGGAAGAGAGGAAATGGGGGGGCAAATAAAGGGTCCTGGAGCAAACCCAAACCGGAGATGTTACGTGATATAATTTTTTTAACAAAAAGGAAGTAATTGCTAAAAGTTGTGCGTCTGCTATTCTTTGTTGAGGGAACATCAATGTTCTCATTAACCACTCACTTCTTATTTGTGCCCAACTTTACCACGTGTCTCTCGTTTTCTTTAAAATCGTTATGACTTTACTGACTTGATATTACGTGCTGCCTTAGACTTTCTTCATGTCTGTCTTGAGCTTCCATAGATAACCCGAACCCGACATAAAGTGGCAAAAGAAGATTAGTGTAATTACGGCAAGCTACTTGTACTGTATGTTTCACTCAACAAGGAATATTATCTGCTAGTTTATAGTTCAGCCTGCTAACGGTAAATTAAAAGATGAGATATTGAAAATGAGGGACAAACAAGCTTCACAGTGTTTTGATTTGTGGAAAAACTTGTTGGTATTAAAAGAAGTGAGCGGGTAGTTTAAGCTGGCGGTTAGTTTGTTATAGTGAGTACTTCCAGGATAGCTGGGAGATTTTCCACGTGTATTAATTCAGGATCTGTTTATCTGGCAGATGTGCGGCCTGGGTCCAGCTCTATTTAGCTTCGCGGAATTTGCTCCAGCGTTTCACAAAGATTACTCGGTGGCCCCACTGGTCGCCTGAGACCAATTTTGGTTTGGCCGGAGTCGTGACAAAAACAAAGCTCCGATTCCAGATGGCAAGAGCCCAAGATGGCAAAGAAGGCACCCCCACCCTTCAGCAACATCTGTCTTTATAAGGAATAGCATCTTTCTTGAATGAGTAATTACACAGTTTAGTGACAGCTGATTAGATCAGGTGTAGGCAAACAAAATGGGACAGTATTGTCTATTTTTACTACTGTGGTACCAAATGTTGTTTTGTTTTTTTGCAGGCTATGATCAGCAGCGTGTGACTGGGCTCTGCCGTTTATCTTTGTAAGACATTTTGAAAAGCTCCAGATGCCTATCAGAGGTCATGTGCTGGAGTTTAGTCCCCATGTCAACTGCAGTCAGTGTCCCAAGTGTTGACTTATGGGATGTAGCACTTTGGCCTTTTAAAGTTTAAGCTTTTTTGCTCAGGGTTAGAGAAATATCTGAACTTTTCTTTCAGGCTTTTTAGATACAACTGCACGAATCCAAGCACCGACCAAAAGAAAAGCGCCTTTAACCAGCTGACTTATTTTAGTATCTTTGATTGACAGGTCCGAGTTTTAAGCTACCCTCGGGTGTATTCTCCATGATTATAGTTACAATTTAATATGACCACTCTGTGGTTTACTGTTGCCTTCACTTAGCTAAAAGAGCAAAAGTAATGCCTGTACAGTGTAGATGTGCTGTCAAATGCCACAAAACTATATTTTATTGATCAGAAGAACTTTTATCTCACTTTTATCTCTTTTTTGTTACTTATTTTCTATCTCTTAAAAAATGGATAAGGACGTTGTTGTCATAACTCGATCTGGGCACACGTGTGTTCCAGCATGCTTGAGCATGAGGGAATTGTCCAGTGGGATATTATTAAAGATAGAATGGATTTAGTGTGTGTTTGCCAAGCAGAGATCTTTTCCATCCCCGTTCCTTCGTTTGATTATTAGCGTGCTATCCTTTTCTCTTTTTTTAACTTTATAAAGCACCTTGCTGTGAGCCGCACCTTATAAGCCAATGTTTGGTCTCCTTTTAACTTCACCGCCAAAAGTGCCTGCTTAAGTAGACGTGTAGGCAGGCTCATCTTTAAGAGCCAAAAGTCTGCAGGAAAAATGGTCAGGAGGCATCAGTGGAATATACTCTAAATCCAGATTAGTCGTTATAAAGAGACTGGCTCTGTGTTAATGGAGAGAAGCTGCTTTTCTGTCTTCACTGTTTAGGAAGGGTAGTGTCAGCCGGGGGTCTGTGCTAGATTTGGAGTTCTGGGTGATATGAGTGCAGCAGCAGACACAACAAGCTTCAGGATCAAAGAGCTGCCAGTCCAAAAGGACTCACACACACACACACAAGATTTATTCAAAAGTCTCTGTGAATGCGTCTGCCTCTAATCTCCAAGCATATAAGTTGGCATTAATACAAGCTTTGTTCATCATGTTTCTTCACACTTCACTTTCACTCATTTATAGCTATCGGGCTGTTATATTGCACTACCCTACTAGATGTAGTCAGTAGGTTTTAATAGTCCTGAATGCCTCGTCCCCTCTTGCATTTTAAGGCTTTCGCAAGCTTCAATAAATGCTGCACATACATTTGCATCCTATTTGCAAATAAATGCCTATCCACGCTATCCCAGCACATCATTGCACTGAGAGTCTTTATGCGTGCATAGCCAGACTATCAGTTCATTTCTTTTCTAGGAATATCTAGGAATAATATTTGGATTAAAATTGCTCACATGGAAAGCTCGAATCTCTGAAACACGTGCATTGGTGAGAATTATGGTCAGTTAGTCGCAGAAGGTTCTGTATCTTAGAAGGGCCACTTAACAAAATGAACCGAATTTCCCTACCACTGTCCTCTGGTAATGGTGTTATGTTTCATTTCAAGCACAGGCTGTTAGCTTATCTCTGCCTTGTCGTGACAACAAATAGTACGTTCTTGTGTATACACTGTAAACCTTTATGTGGGGACAGCGGCAGAGGATCCACCATCGCTCTGCAAGCGTGAGGGTTGAAGTGTGGATGCTAGCGCAGCGATGCTTTTTGAAAAGGCGGAGACGCATCTTTTAAAAAATGCAGTGAATGTACATTTACAGATAATCAGCCCCTATCTCCAGTTCGGCGGCTCTTTTCCGCCAACTGTCTGATAAAGACAAATTACAAGCATGCACAGAGAAACACACTGGTCTGGCGACATACCGGCCATGGCACAAAGTTTTCAAATCTTCAAGTTCACTCAGAGTGTTGTCATTAAGACAGATTTAACATTCAAGCTTTAGTGTGTCCAGTGCGTGCGTGTCCTGTTCTCATTATTGATGATATCATCTTCAGAGGAAGCACCCTGGGCTGTGGTCAGAGGTCAAGTGACTTTCCCAGGCTGGAGTGTGTTTCTGAACATGGAGGGGACGTGTGTGTGTGTGCACGCGCATGCCCACATGTTTCTAAGCTGAGGGGAAGTCCAGAGCTCAAGGCCTCCATTTCTGATCTTCAGTCTTGGCTGTGGACTAGTGAGAAAAGAAATCAGTAACAGACTCAAACGCTGGCTTACGGCACGCATCCGAAAACACAAAAAGCAAGCGGAGCAGCACAGAGGAATGCCTTTAAGGTCAATGACCCCACAAAGTTAACTGCACACGATAAACTTAATTTACTCAAGTCACAGATAATGTTATACAGATTGTGCACAGCATTCTCAGAGCCTCATTGTTAAACTTGGGGTGCACACAAGGAAGTTACAGTAATGGATCTGTCTGCTTCTATCTGAAGTTGCGCATTGAGACAGACCATCGCCTGCATAAAAGATGTTCTGTCTCTGCTTTGTACTATTTGCCAGGAGATTTTAGATTTTAACAAAAGCGCAATAAATACAATATTGTTGTTAGCTCTTAAGAAAAAAAAGCTGGAATGACACAATCCTCCCGCGTCTCCACTGATTCATAGCATTAAAAAGTCTGGGCTTCCTCTCTGCCGTTAAGAACAAGTGTGAAAAAAATCCTTTGCAAAGCAAACGCAAGGCCATGCTCATCGTCTCTAACCAGATCATATCTAATGGGCCCTCAGACATTTGAGGAATCTTTCGCCTCGCAGTAATTCCTATGACATAGCATGTTATCATTTTCTCTGAATGACCTCACCCAGGTCAGTCAGAGTTTATCGAATTATTATGACAAGATCTGCACGTGTTTGATGCTCTTTTGTTTTCAGCTTCGACCTCACGCTTTGTGTCTGTCTGTGTGTTTTCAGATCAGTGCCAATATGCTGATCTTCCTGTGCACTAACATGATCGGCATCTGTACTCACTACCCCGCTGAAGTCTCCCAAAGACAGGCCTTCCAGGAGACTAGAGGATACATTCAGGCCAGACTGCACCTGCAGAGGGAAAACCAGCAACAGGTACACTTATGTGCACACGGTATGCACAGGCACACACATAGAGACACCTGCTGAGTCCTGTAGAAAGACATATACACAAATGCAGAAGAGCAACAAATGAGTGTCTCAGTTTTCTAGTCTAATTCGTTTGTCTCCCTTTTTGAGGTCAACAATATGTTCTGGTGTATAACGTGTATCTCCGCTCCACTCTAATTTACTAACACCTTCCCACGCAGATCCCAGCGAGCCAGGCTGACTCAGTAAACACTCCAACAGTGGAAAACGCTGAAAATGAATGAACTCTCTTTATCGTGCACTGTCATATCTTCCTTTCTGTTTTAATTCATCTCTCCGTCTCTCATTCTCTTGTGTCATCTCTACGTCTCTCTCAGGAGCGCTTACTGCTGTCGGTGCTGCCACATCACGTTGCCATGGAGATGCAGGCTGATATCAGTGCCAAGAAGGAAGATATGATGTTCCACAAGATCTACATTCAAAAACACGACAATGTTAGGTAAACACAGACAGACGAATGCACGCACATGCTTCTGCACGAACATACTATAAGGCTCAAAAAATGTGGGAGTGCTCAGCTAGCTTCGACCTCAGAGTCCCTTCAACCGCTGTTTCCTTTAGAGCATGCATTATGCATGTTGCTGGTTATTGACACTGACAGCACCGGCATAAGCAACAATATTGGCTTCAGGACGCTGATGTGCTTTCTGTAGCAAATAATTTCCGACAGATCTCAGAGTTTGCTGCCTCCTACTCTCATCCATCACTGATGACTGACTACTAACAGGTGATTGAATCGTTCTATTGGCTGTACTGCAGCAGAGTTTAGCCAGCACTGTCCATGTTGTGGTGGCGTGGAGATTGTAATGAGGTTAAAGCAAAGATCTCCTGTCATAGGTGACCCAGATAGGTACAGGTAATGTACTTAGAATACTCTGTTGCAGCACCACTGACCTACCAAGGTATAAACTTACACAAGCAACCCATTATCCAAATTCAACACAAGACTAGAAAACAAAAAATACTTGGGTTGCTTTGCAAAGGCAATAACACTTAGAAAACAACTAAACTCAAGATATTCAGAGTGTTTTGATTAGCCTAACTCTAACAGGTCTGTCATTTTAAACTATATTTAGTCAAGCATTGTACAAAGTTACTTAGAAAGACAAATCAAATTTAGCATTAAGCAAAGCATTAAGTAAAGCAGTAATTAAAGCAGCTCATCCCTTCCCATTGCTCGCCCACATGAGATCGTTCATGAGAGCTGTGCAATCACAAATGTTATTAAGGTGTCCTTTTAAGCTACGTTAGCATGCTCACAGTCGCAGCGCATCTCCAAGCCACTTCACAGCCCATGTCCATCTGAGCGACTCCCTTTTATGCTGTTTCTGAGCTTATCTGTATCATATCTATTGTTGTTGATGCCGCTCCATTCTTGCATCTCTCGCCGCCTCTGTCTTTTCATGTAGCCACATGTCTCCCAGTGCTTCTCCTTGCTCTCTGTGTGTGAAGGACTGGGGAGTCCTAAAACAGAACACTCCTGCCAAGTATAAGTTACTGCAGGAGTGAATAATAATAGAGTTTTACTGGCAAACCAGTAAAACTAAGGTATATGAAGTTTCAGTACCTTAGTTTTACTGGGTTGCCAGTAAAACTACAGTATATGGCATACTCAGTACTCAGTGTTGGGAAGGTTACTTTTAAAATGTATTCCATTACAGAATACAGA